TTAATGCCAAATTATTTTAACTAGATTTTTTCTTATTAATAGTGATTTTAAAATTTAAAAATAACAATGTTAAAATTAATAGGAGTTATAGTAAAACCTAAAGATATATTAGATGTAAATATGTAAATTTAAAAAATTATTAATTTTAGAGGGCTTGGAAGTATATTTCTATAACATTAATAGAGTTTATGTTTCTTAGATATTATCATAGATTTAACTTAAATATATAAGAATACTTTTTTAAAAAGGACCAAAAATAAGGTTATTGTAAATTACAATTTTGCATAATAAGAATATATGATTAATTTAATCTATAAATTTTTAAATTAAGAAATTAATCATATGCATTAAATATATATCCGCAACTTTTACTAAATTTAAAGATTTTTTTCAATAGAATTATTACTTTTAAAATAAACATAAAAGATAAAGACCATTATTTTGGTCAAGAGTTATATATAAATATATGCTTTAGTTCTTCAAAATCCTCAAATATCTCATTTTTTAAAGCATTATTCATAATACACTTAAATTTAAGTAAGATGAATCCAAATATGATGCTAGTAAAAAAACTAAAAGACAGCGATCTTTCCTATAATAATGCTTTGTATTTACCAAAAGCTTGTGTCGAGAACATAGTAAGGAGTACGGGAGTGCCGATACCTCGAAATGGTATTCAAGTGGAAATTTTGGACAATAACAATTCTTATTGGGTAAACCTTAGAGAAAGCCAAAAGGGTCCTTATATTGGAAGTGGGTGGAAAAATATCAAAGATGCTAGAAGTCTCAAAACAGGTGATGTAATCAAATTATATTGGAAAGATACCAAATTTATTTTTAGTATGTAGGAATATTTATTTCTTTCTCTAGTAATGCTATCTCGCATTTGTTATTCTTTTTATTTATATATCTATTTAACTAATGTATTTATTGAATAATGATATTTTGTATGGGCTTTATGTGTTTCATAAATAAAACCAAGGTAGCATTTCAATTTAATATATAAACAATGATAATTTAATATCTTTCTACATTTTTGGTGGAATCCTCTATATATTAAAAGAGAGTTTTTTGTGCTTATGTGTCAAACCCACAATTATTCTCATATGCTTAATTTTTTATTTATTTAATTCAACTATCCATTGACCAAACACTTTTAATTTCATATACTACTTATTCTTATTTAATAAACTTACTAGAACTAAATATATCAAAATTTTAAATAAGGAAACTTCTATTTAAAGATTTTGTTAATATTAAATGTATAGTGTTTTCAATTGAAAAATTAAACTATATGAACATATAGTGTATACATTTTAACACCGACAAATTTTTTATGCATTATCAAAATTTAAACTGAAATCGCTAATCAATAAACCTAAATTTATGAATGACGTAACTGCAACTACAATTGTATGATATAAATTATTAAAATAATTACAATTTAGTTTGTAAATTAATTTATATGAATAAAAAGTTGAAATTTTTTTGGGTTCATCCCTAGGGGTGAACCTCTCTTATTCACCCCCCCCATTTGATTATCCAATCAAAATACAGCATTGTGCCATGTAATATTTTTTTAAAAAAATAAATAAAAATTAAATTCCGAAAACAAAAAAAATTAAGGAAACAAAATTTGTATACTTTTAATTAAAAAAATTAATTATATGACGGTTTGGGTTTACTAATGTGAATTCGGGTTTAGATTTTACAATTAAGCGAAATTATATGTTGGTTTGGGTTTATAAAAAAGTTATTTGGGTTTAGATTTATAATTAAACAATTATATGTTGGTTTGGGTTTACATATATGGATTAGAGTTTAGATTTTACAATTACAAGTAAACGAGTTTATATTTCGGTTTGGGTTTATAAAGTAGGAGTAGGGTTTATATTTTACAATTAAACAATATTATATATCGTTTTTGGGTTTATAAATAAGAATTAGGGTTTATCTTATACAATTAAAGGAGATTATGTGTTAGTTTGGGTTTAACTAAATTCATATGTTTATAAATGATTTCATTTTAATATATTTTATTTTTTTTTATTTTTATTTGTTTAATTTTTAATTTCTATTTAAATATAAAATGACATGGCAATTTTATTGCTTAAAATAAGTTCACCCCTAAGGGTGAACCCAAGTATTGCTCTAAAAAGTAATGTTATTGCATGAAATTTCTATACACTACAAAAAAGAAGGCTATTAACGTCAATTTTTATTTACCTTAAAGTCATTTATTAAATGACTTAAATAACTTTACGTCAATTACAAAATTGACGTATTATTGGCCGACGTTAACTTATTTTGCTTCACTTTAAAAAACGACGCTATGTTTAACGTCAAATATGCTAGCGTCATTTTTTATAGATTTAACGACGGTTTGAAAAATGATTCAAAAGCATCACACTAACGTCTCTTTCAAAACCGACGTATACACACAACCATTAATACTAATTTTACATTAAATTAAATTATAATTAGGAAAAACTGAAAGAAAACAATAAATTAATAAATCAAATAAATAGCACACATAACAACTGTCAATTATCTGGATACAAACATAAAACATAAGATATACGTCTTGACCATGTTTTCAAACATTACATAAAAATCCATTAAATGTACCACTCTGTCATGACATTCTTGCTAGCTTCTCCTTCTGCATTATTCTATCTTCTTCAAGTTCTCTACGCGTTTCTTAAACTTTGAGATTGACTATTTAATTATCACACAAGTTCAAAACATGACATATATGATGATTAGAGTAAACTATTAAAGAACAACACAACTTTAAGCCATTATCAATTTATCATACCTCCAGTATCTTCAATGAAGGAGCTTGTGTGATAATTTCCAAAAAAAATACATAATAATGCGTCATGCATGTGATGAACATACCCGTTTCAAAGTGAAATGAAGATTAAATTACTTATGAGTTGTATACAAATTGGAGTAATGAAATAAAAAATAAATTACCTGGCATTGGTTGCTTGATCGAGTCATAGTTTCTGAAATTTCAGGTACTTCATGGTTCCTTTAGAAGAAGAACTTTAAAATCATGCTCCAACATCTACAAGTATGTGTTCATGATATTCTTGACTAAATTTCTAATTCCTAATAGACTTCCATTTTCTTTAAATGTCTCATATCAAAATCAGTGAAATGTACATGCCAATGTTAGAGCTTACTAGCTTAATTTAATAGATGAAGTTTAGAACAATTTAACAAGGGTAAAAATTGATGGATCCATCGCCTAATTTGATCAAATCCATCTAAGTAGAAAGTCTAACACATTGAAGATTTCAAGATAAATTAAGCATCAAACCACCATTCAAAAGAAATAGATAACTAACCACACAATTATTTCTTCATTGCAACTAAACCTCCAGCTTATCTAGTCCATGTGATCAAATAGGTCACCTCCAATAACATCATTTTTATGAGTTCTGAAGCAAAAAAAAAACCATTAGATCATATCATACCGAAGACAAGCTAACAAATCATTTTAACTCCAAACTCAATCAAGTAGTCATGGAGACCAGAAAGGGAAGACAATGAACAACTCAATAGAAGAACCACTAAGTTCTTGCTTTCAGTTGCCAAGAGTGTAAGAAACATACCGTGAAAACAAAGTTGTAACCCTTTTCAAGAACAATCTGAAGGAAATCGATTCTTCTTCACATCATTTAAAGTTGTCAAAATCCTTGTACCATCTCTAGTTGCAGCTATATATACGCACAACATCTGCTACCTTAGGTTACCAATTAAACCAAGAATCAGAATGCAGAACACGGTAACGTCAAGAATAACTTGTGAAAACCAGAAATCGAACTCAAATGCGACTACTAGCACATAAACAAGAACAAAAATAACTGGTAGCCTAAGGTAGGATTTTGATTTCAAAATAACTAGCACATAGAACACTCACCGGAGAACCAAATCAAATCAAATCCCTAAATCGAAGACCAAATTATAGAACACTCACCGGAGACGAAGAAAAATCATTGAAAGAGGGAAAATGCGAGAGATCCAGGAAGAGCCATATACGATGTTGAGAGAACCAACGATTCTCTAGAGGATGAAGCAGAAGAAGATGACGAAAAGCTGCGACGGCTTTTCTTCAGAAGAACAGCTCGGAGTAGACTGAAGGAATATGGCGGCAATTAAACGGAAGCTGCGGCGGCGTTAGAAATTTCGAACATCACTAATTTGACATTCGGTGATTAAAAATATACTTACAAAGGTTATTATTAAGTGACGCCATTCCTATTAAAATTAAGTCGGTTTATTAAATGACGCCAAATCCCGTCCAATTAAAATTCTTAAAGTCGGTTTAACAAGTGGCGTTAATAAACCGACGTCTCACATCTGATTTTTTTGTAGTGATAGCATTATTTTAGTTTAAAATATTTTAGCACATTTATAAAACTTAATTTTGATATTTAGGAATTCAATATTAGATCTTTGAATTTTTCGTTAATTTTTCTATCATAAAATTAAATAACATAAGAGCTATTTGTGCATACCACGAGTTCTTACCTCGTGATATATTAATAGGTAATCCCACAGTTTGTAGAAAAAAAAATATTGTTTTCACTATAGAAAATAATTCTGAGGTCATTTATACAAAAAAAATATCCAGCGTTTAATATGTACAATTAAATAATAAATATACTATTAATCTATGAAATAAAAAATGTAGAGCTTACTTTAACTATTTAGGGACACATGACAAATGCTAAAGTGATGATATATCACTCATATGGAGAGAGTTGACCAACTTTCATATATATGATTTACAGTTTTAATATGAATTCTTTATCCAATCTCTTGATTTGTTTTTACATTAATATTTGAGTAGACATTTCATTGGATATTGCGTTTTTCTAAAGGAAATTTATGGTAGATTTCTGTTAGGTAGATTTCTGTTAGGCTGATTTGGGAATTCATCATGTAGTTCTTCATCATTACACCAAAAGTGGTGTTACTTGATTTTTTATTTATGTTTAAATATATTTTGCCCATTTAGATTATGTATGGGTCAAGCAACTCCTAAAAAGATCTAAGATGCGATTACTATTGCTAAATGCAGATTCAGATGCAACCGAAGACACATGCATTGCAAGTATATCTCTGGCTATTACAGATAAAACGGGATACTTTGAGTTGTTGGTCCTCCACCATCCCATGACATCAAATGGTATTCCAAGCGGATTGATCTTTACAATTTCCACTTTCTCTTTCAAATATAACTCCAGCTCAAAACTTGTATTCGCAAATCCTATCTCATTCACCATCTCTTTGTATAGAAAATCCATTCTTTCATATCCAGAATCATTCTCTAAATCTATTTTGTCAAACAAATCAGAATCTTGTGAGTTTTGTCCTCCAACAGATGACGTCCCAGCCGTTTGAGATGATGACACATTGAGTCTCTCCCTGGTTATTGTACTCTTCAAACATCCTTGAAATCTCCAATATTTCTTGTTTTCTCTGTGAAAACCTGAATAAAACATAGTAAAAGTGGGCTAAAATACGATGTTACCATCGGTTGTAAGAGAAATCCTTTGGTTATTAGAACTAAGCACCTTCATCTTAGCAGCTTTCCTTTTCACATACATCTGCACAATCTCTCTAGTAGCTGTCGTCCGCGACTGAGGTTTGTAAAGATTAACCCGAGTACAAAATGTCTCCAAGTCAAGCTTTCAACTGACGCAAGTGGCAATTTACCCAAGACAAGCATTTCGTTAGTAACTTCATGGAAAATATCTTCAGAAACTTTAGCTAATATCAGATTCCCATTACCACTTCCACCATTACCTCCAAGATTCAAAATATGCTGACTCTGAGCATTACTATACTTCCATACTTGATACCTAAATGTCTTTAAACAAGAAGTACCATTTCATGTTGCACAACACATAACTCTAGCACAGTAATGACATGTACACTTATCCTTATTCTTCGCAGTTCTTGTAAAATGATCCCATACCCTTGACCTAGAAGAACTAGAAGTACCTTTCTTCTTTGCCTTAAATTTTCCTAAAGTATCACCATGTCCTTTCCTTTGTTTCTAGATTCATGAGTAGGTGTCACCACATCTTCTTCACTTCTCTCGGATTTATCATCATTTTGAAATTCATCTTGTTGTCTTTGAGGGGGTGAAGAAGAATCCATCTGCAACAATCAAAGATTATCACAAATCAAAGTTAAATTGAAAGCTCAGTCTCAAAAATCAAAAAGTTACAATTTCAAATGAGACTAATGACACTAAACAATTACTTTTTTTATGTAGCAAACAAAACGAAAATCTCAATAAGAGAATCTTATCCTACAAATCCGAAAACCAACAGATCCACTAATTCAATAACAATAACAATCACAAGAACCTAAGAATCACACCTACGGCTACATACTTCACAGTTACACAACTTCACATTTACACAAAGTCACAAACCTAAGAATCTAAGATGCATAAGAAACTGAAATACAAAATAAAATTAAGCACAAAATTACAAAGCTTGAATAAGAGAATACGAGAAAGGAGAAACACAAACGGACGATTGATTTGTCAAAAAACCTGATAGAGTAGGTTTAGCTCTTTTTCGTGAATCGTTTAGGGGATTTACGATTTCTAGTTTGCCAATTTGGGGTTTATATAGGCGTTAAGATGAGAAAACGAATCAATCAAGTGGAGAAGTGGAAACGGCAAAAGCAATCTAGAGAATCAGAGAGAATATCGGAAATCGGAGATATGTGCTCTCGAGTCTCGATATTTTTGGGTTTGTGAATATATGATTACCCCTCTGAACTACACATATCCTTATATGAACCTTATACATGATATATAAGTATGTGTATATTCAATATGGGCGGTTAACCGATCGGGTTTTGGTTTATACCCCAACCGAAACCGAACCCGATGCAAAGCAATCATATTACCCATTCGGTTTATAGACTTTAACCGAAACCGTATCCGAATCTCTTTTTTTCGGGTCGGGTCGGGTACAGTATTCGGGTTTCGGAGATTATGCCCAGGTCTAACAGAAACTTTGATATTCGTAAAATACTAGAAAACGTATTCCAACAATTTTAGATGAAACTTTATCTGTAAAAAAAAATCAACTTTTTCAAATAAATCACCAATTTTTTTTCCAAAGCATATATAGTTTTTTTGTCCAACGTATATGATCAAATTATTTATTAGATATTTTTTTATTTCTAATTTTTTCTTTAACTTATTAAAAATGATTATTCACCTTCGTACCAATTTAAAATAGTACAAAACTATATTAAATTCTTTCCTTTTTTTAATTTAAAAAGTCAAAAATAGTATTTCGAGAAAATCTAGTGACAACTGACAAGACAACACATACGCAAAATCTCTTCATTTTTTATTATTTATTTTAATATATACAAATATAGTTTTGAATTTCAAAATATTACACTGCTCTCCTCTCGTACTCCCAAATTTTTTAAAAACCCGCCTCTTCATTTTTTCGTCTCCCTCTTAAAATTCCAATTCTCTAGAACCTTCCTCTCTCCATATCTCTCACAATCTCGAAAAACACCATTTCTCACTCTCAGATCTTTTTCACCCAAAAATGGCGCGTGACATCCAACTTCCGTGCGACGGCGACGGTGTATGCATGCGATGCAAATCCAAACCTCCGCCTGAAGAATCTCTCACTTGCGGCACGTGCGTTACGCCGTGGCACGTGTCCTGTCTCTCAACCCCACCCGAAACCCTAGCTTCTACTTTACAGTGGCATTGTCCTGATTGCTCCGGCGAAATCGATCCTCTTCCTGTTTCCGGCGGCGTTTCTGGTGATGGATCTAATGGCTCAGATCTTGTTGCAGCGATTCGCGCGATTGAGGCTGATGAGTCGTTGAGTACTGAAGAGAAAGCTAAGAAGAGGCAACGGTTACTTAGTGGTAAAGGCGTCGTTGAGGATGACGAAGAAGAGAAGAAGAGTAAAGGGAAGAATGCGAATCTCGATGTTTTATCTGCTCTTGGAGATAACTTGATGTGTTCCTTCTGTATGCAATTACCTGAGAGACCTGTTACGGTTCGTTCTCTTTGTCTTTGCTCTTATGCTTGTTAATTTAGTGTATCTAATGTGTTATTGCTGGATTATTTGACCTGTTTTGATACTTCTTTTGGTGAATCTGTTTAGTGTTTCTGCTTAAATGTTGAATCACATTATTGGTTAATGATTGTGACATACCACAATGAAACTGCGTGATACAAAGGCATAGACTTTATTGACTCAATTAATCGATCCTTTTGACAAACTGTCTCAATATACTTATTAAGTTATCCTGTTATTTACCCTTTTGGGTTGGATTATTTAGTTGGAGTAATTTACTGTGTTGTTGAAAATTTGTTGATGGTTGAACTTTTCTATAGATTGTTGTTTAGTTGCCGTTTATGGGATGCTTGTCTTGGTGTTCTTGTCAAAATAAAAACTCTAAACTTTTGCTTTTGATGAGTATTCAATATGGTCTGAACTGTGTATGGTAGGAATGGCAAGACGTTATAAGTGTTGACTTCTTCTTTACAGAATAAGTCATTTTTTTGACAAAAATGAAGGCTGATGGATATCTTGTATGTTTCTTTTTTCAGAAACCATGTGGGCACAATGCTTGCTTGAAATGTTTTGAGAAGTGGATGGGGCAGGGCAAGCGAACTTGTGGTAAATGCAGAAGCGTGATTCCGGAGAAAATGGCTAAGAATCCCCGTATCAACTCGTCCCTTGTGTCTGCTATTAGATTAGCGAAAGTATCTAAAAGTGCTGCTGCGGGTACTTCGAAGGTCTTTCATTTCATAAGCAACCAAGACAGACCAGATAAAGCATTTACAACTGAGCGTGCAAAGAAAACCGGGAAGGCAAACGCTGCTAGTGGAAGGATTTATGTTACAATACCACCAGATCACTTTGGTCCTATACCAGCTGAAAACGATCCTGTCAGGAACCAAGGTCTTTTGGTTGGAGAATCCTGGGAAGACAGACTCGAGTGTAGGCAGTGGGGGGCTCATTTCCCTCATGTTGCTGGCATTGCTGGACAATCCAATTATGGAGCTCAATCTGTAGCACTCTCTGGAGGTTATGAGGATGATGAGGATCATGGAGAATGGTTTCTATACACAGGAAGGTCTGCTTTTCATTTCTTCTAGCTTATGGTTTATTTGGATTATTCTAATGCTCGATTGTTATATTAATCACATTTGGTATATCTTACTTCTCTGGCTATTCTTCAATTTACTGATAGATTTCGTCTCTTTTTGTCTTGAATGTGTCACACAGTGGGGGAAGAGATCTCAGTGGCAACAAAAGGACTAATAAGGAGCAGTCCTTTGATCAAAAATTTGAAAAGTCCAATGAAGCCTTAAGACTTAGCTGCAAACTGGGGTATCCTGTTCGAGTTGTCAGGTTAGCTGTTATTTGATCATAACTCCTTTGCATTAAAGCTTGTTTTAATGATCTTAACTCTTTAATTACCTTTTTCACATATGATCAGGTCTCACAAGGAGAAGCGTTCTGCATACGCCCCTGAGGAGGGAGTGAGATATGATGGGGTGTACCGGATAGAGAAGTGCTGGCGGAAAGTTGGAATACAGGTACACATATCTAACAACTGTTTATGTCACTGATCTTTTTATGCATTGACCTATTCTTCTGTGTTCCATAGGGTTCTTTCAAGGTCTGTCGTTACCTGTTTGTTAGATGTGATAATGAGCCAGCTCCATGGACTAGGTTTGATCTACTTCTTGAAAGCTGTGCCTTTTCTGTATACATACCATTTGAGTTTAATGATGTGATATATTGCAGTGATGAGCATGGAGATCGTCCAAGACCTTTGCCTAATATTCCAGAGCTGAATATGGCCACAGACCTATTTGAGAGAAAGGAAAGTTCATCATGGGATTTTGATGTAAGTTCCAAGACATCTCAATTATATAACAGTTCTTTATCTGTACCCACTGATAACATAGGCCTACTTGACCAGGAAGGTGAGGGTTCTTGGAGATGGATGAAGCCGCCACCTGCTAGTAAAAAGTCAGTGAATGTTTTGGATCCTGAGGAGAGGAAAACTTTGAGGAAAGCCATAAAGGCAGCACACTCGAATACCATGAGGGCAAAACTTCTGAAAGGTCTGTGTGTCCAAATTCTCTACCTCTGGTGTTATAATGTTAAATAGTTTTTTCCCTTTTTGCCGAATGAGGTCTTTGTGCATTATGTTTATATTTCTACGACTGCCTTTCTAAACAATTAAAGGTAACCTTTTCTAGAAATGAGACTCAAGCTAAAGATTCCCTGAGAACTTTTAGAATCAGGAAGTCAATGTTTCCAAAATGGTTCTCCTAACTATTAATATGAACCACAACTGTCTAACTCTTTCTTTATATAGCTTTGTTTCCGAATCCATCTAAATTGTCATTGGCTTTTGTTGATGCAGAATTTAAGTGCCAGCTCTGTCGGCAAGTGCTAACTCTTCCAGTGACGACGCCGTGTGCTCATAACTTTTGCAAGGCATGCCTCGAAACCAAATTTGCCGGGAAGACGCTTGTGAGAGAGAGAAGCAGAGGTGGACGAACTCTACGAGCTCAGAAGAATGTGATGAACTGCCCTTGTTGCCCCACTGACATTTCTGATTTTCTTCAGAACCCTCAGGTGAAATATCATCTTATCTTCTTCTTCTCGTTTTATATCATATTATATGAATACAAGTGTAAATTGCATTAGCATTTATTTTGACTCTGCTGGAATTAGATGAAGTTGGTTCAATGGTTATATGTTTGTTTCTAGTTCGTTATCTGCCAAGCATTATCAAATACTTACATACCGTCTATAGATTATTCCTTTTGTAATGTGATTGTGTAGGAATAGGTTTATTTGTAATATAGACTATAATTTTGAGTGGATTTTTAGTATGTCATTCACTTATTTGATTCTTTCCATTCATGAAAAGTGAAACTGTGGCAAATCTGATTGCACAATGTTTACCATTATTATGATCACAGAAATTGAGGACTAATCTTTTTGGTGAAATCTGTAAACAGGTTAACAGAGAAGTCATGGACGTCATAGAGAGGCTGAAGAATCAGGAAGAAGACAATGTAGAGACTGTAAATGAAGGCGAAGGCTCAGGTACCAACGCTGAAGAAGAAACTCTGGCCGAGTCTGAAGATGCTGAGCAACCGAAGAAACGGATTAAGTTGGACACCGCCGCAGCAGTTTCTGCGACTGTTGTGTAATCTGGCATGAAGCAAGTAGATTGGAGCCTTTCCAATGGCTTTTTTTTGGACGGAACCATCAGGTAAAGTTGGAGACTATGGTTTTGTTTTGATACCAAAGAACTCTTTAGCGAAAAAAAACTCTGTACCTGATGTGTTATTTTGGATTTTACTACAACTAAGTTCTTAAACTATGGTTCTCTGGTTTAAATATTTTTCTCTTATTTTGGATTTTCTGGTTTATTAGGTTTGATAACTCGTATTGGTTGGTTTGATAGTACTATCAGGTACTAAAAAGTGCGTTCTCTATTTAGTAAAATATTGAATGGATGTTGTTTCATTTTGTCTGATCTAATTTAGATTCTATCTAGGTTTGATTTTGAGTTTACACCAAATTCAAAAAACTTGTTCTTTTATCATTTTAAGTAATGGCACAAGACAGAAAAGCAAATACTACCACATTATGAGCATATTTGTACCAGAAAAAAGTATTAGTCAGTCATTTTTTAATTGCCCATAGAAGTTTGTAACAATTCAAAGCGATTGCATTCATTTTTTAAATGCCCTAAGCATTTCTTTTCGTTGCAGTCAAAAATTTCTTCAAGGTATTGATGATAGTTTTATTTAAGGATTCCGCTTAGCCGTTGGATTAGAGATGGTTTGAAGTTGAGAAGCTCAGATTGATTTCACATTTTCATTTTTGATGCCAAATTCTTTTAGTTTGTTTCATTTGAACTGTCTTTCATGTTCCTTGACCGTGACTATGTAACTATGTTGGATTTGAACCTTTGATTAAATCTTCAAAAAGAGAAAGCTTCAATGAGAACAATAAGAAGAAGAAGAACAAAGAAGAAGCTCAAGCAAAAGAAGAAGCAAAGGTTTTATCCAAAAAAAAAAAAAAAAAAAAAAAAGAAAAAAAAAAAAAAAGAAGAAGAAGCAAAGGCTCGTGATTGAAGGAAGAAGAAGTTGCGTGAAGAGAAGTCAACGACACAAGAAGAGAGGCACAAGTCAACAAGAAGATTGAGTTGGGCTTTGGGTGTTTTGTAATAATATTAGTATTGGGCTATTTGAGAGAAAGAGTGAACTAACCTCTAAGTGTGAAGAGAGGTTAGAGAATGTCAACACTATCTCATGGAGAATATCGAACTTGCAGATCCTGTTTAGAGAGGAAGTCAATAGTATACTATTCTTTGACATTGCTTATTTGTACTAGTAGGTTTTGCTTTAATCTGTTTTGTGAAATAATCACATCCCTATGGTTAGGTCTTCCTTTTTACCACTCATATAGTGTCAGTAACTTAGGTAACTTATCTGCTATGTTTGGTTTCCACTCTGAAATGCAATAATAAGCCTATTAACTTCGGATACCCTAGGCGATGGTACGGTGTATGACTTGCGCCAACTTCTGGAATTTTCGCATAGCCAAACATGCCTCATAGCGTCTGAATGGAGTATGGACAATAGTACATGTCGTCAAGACCTTGTGAGCTTAGTATTTTATTCCTTATATTGGCACCCCATTCCCTTCCATGTATTTCTAGTCGTGTTGCTAAACCACCACTCTAAACTAATTCAATATGGTGCAGACCTCCTTGTCGGTGACACACCTAAGACACAAAGAAAAGTAGGATATTTGCTAAAGTTTCTTTTAGAGTTACCTAAGGCTCATTCAAGATTCATTTTAGGATCACTTCTGACAAGTTTTCCAAGGACAGCCACAATATTCTTACCACTACTATGTTGTCATCAAAGATTTGTTTCCAATCACGATCCTGGCTTGGCCATAGAATCTACGAGGTTATTCTCTTCCCAAGGACTCACTACACATGTGACAAGGTAAAAGTGCCCACAAATTCTTTTTACTAGCCATCTTGTCATTTCACACTTTGTAGTCTACCTTAAGATTGGTCGACTCTTAAGACTTTTTTTTTTGTATTCCAATGTGTAGGCCCGTGGCTACGTTGAAGAAAATAAAACATTCGCCTACGGCCTTGTTTAAATTAAAAAAATCAATGCTTATCAACAGTATTATCAACATTACTAAAAACATCATTCTTATTAAACGTAATTTTAAGCCTGAAATTTTACTAGAGAAACATAATGCTTTTGATTTGTTTCTTAAAATTAACACGTGACGCTTTTAATAAAGGGATGTTTTTCAAAATTAATAATTAAATTAAGCACTAAAATAAAAACAAGTAGGATAATATACGGTAATTGTGGATTTAAACTTCTCTTTTTATTTTTGATGTTTGACTATCTTGTCCATCAGTAAAGAATTTATTAAAATATTGATTTTGAAAATTTAATTAACAGTATTATTAACATTACAAAAAGAAAAATGATGTTTTAGAGTTATATTTTTTTACTCCAATATTATTATTATCTTTTTTTGGTAGGAGAAATTTTTCATTTTTATGAATTTGGATATAGTTTTTTTTTTTGGTAAAAAATATAGTTTTTAAATATCGCCTATAGTTTTTAATTTGGATATAGTTTTTTGCCGGGCAATGTGAGGATGAGTTTTGGATGGCATTGATTTACTTTGCATTCACTTTTATGGATCAATAAGTAACGGTGTAGCTTCTAAGTACCAAACAAATATCAGTTTTCATCCGCGTTCTAAACTAATATATAAAACAAGAAAATCAAATTATTATTATTTTTATTTCATCAACGATACCAAACAAATCTCTAGAAAGTAGAAACAGAGAAAAGCTTGAAACAACATAACAACATAACAACAAAACAAAATTTAACGTTCAATATTTAGAACTCCAGTTGCAGCAAAATAACAGATGGCAATACGTTCCACATATGTTGCGTACGAAATAAGGTAACATAGTTTTTTGGTCCAAACACGAGCCGTTGCTAGTCAGTAGTGACTTCTGTCTCGATCGATAAAAATGGTTCCTCCCAAAGCATCCGTGGTCTAGTGGCAGAGGAAGCTTTGGGAAAGGGTGAAACTCCCAAACCTGAGTTCGATTCTCCATGGAAACAAAAACACATTTGTTTGGGAAGTCTCTCAGTTGGACCTTGACCCAATTGGTTTACTTGGTAGCCAGAAATGCAGGCGGCCTGACTACCCCTGGCACTTAGTCGGAAGGCATTCCAAACTCGGGATAGGCAGAGTGGTAGCCCGTAAGGGCCTAACCGTTAACACGGTGGACCAGTCCACTATCTAGCACCTCGGTGCGTTCCTACCTGGGCCGACCGGATAGCCGATAGGGTTTATCGGAAAAAAAAAAAAAAAAAAATGGTTCCTCTGACGTCAGTCTATTGATATGTTATGAGTGACGTCAACATGCTGATGTAGCATTACAATTTCGGCGCCGTCTTTTATTTCAGAAACATTTGTTACCAATTTTAGTTGTAATTAAAAAAAAAACAAAAAAATGGGGTGTTATGAAAACAGTGACATTTTCTTTCTTTTAACTATCTAGGTCCACAATATTGACAATTGGGTTATATTAATTTAAATACACAGATAACTGAAAAATTAAGAATATATACATATTTTTTTATATAATTAGTTATCTCTCATCAATTTATATAAGTTGGACGAAAATACCCTTATGGATGTAACAAATTGTTTAGCGATAGAATAATATAGATATTGACGAGATAAATATTTCAGATGGATTCCGATAATAGCTCCAGTCAAATTTTCGGTGATGAATCAGTTGAGTTTTAGATAATTAATTATTTTGTTAGCATGATATATATTATTTGTTTAATATGCTAAATAATTTGCTATCACGATCAGTTTATATATATGTGTTAACTATATGTTTTTCGTTTTAAAATTGTGAATCAATGCTTTTTTTATTTATGTTTATATTAGTTTAATAAAAAGGATTAGTCTTTCTTTTACATTATTATATATTATGATAACATTTATAACAACATGTTATATAGAATGATAACATGCTAATATATTAAATACCCGAATAATATTTGTATAAACATGGTAAGAGAGTTGATATATGGATAACAATAATATTAACATGTAATTTTTACATAATATTCACTAATACATAACTGATAACGAGGTTATCATGATAACAAGTACACAAATGTTTACATACGTTGTTAACTAATTTGTTATCGATAAATATAGTAAAATCAAACCCAGAAAAATGTGCCAATGATGCCGACAATTCCTCTTTTTTTATCGATTAACCTAATCTAAGCTACAATTGACAAATTCAGTCTCTATATCTGTCTCCGCCCAACACTCTGTTTGATCTAACGTCACGACACCATCCATTTTTCTCCCCCGTAATTACCGCAACCGATATAATCATCATCACCACCGATATATCATCACAATTCAGCTTTTAGCCATCACACCTTCTGAGTTCTTCTTTCATCTTATTCTTTCTATACTTACCGCCACCAACAATATCATTCTTACCATCATCATCGGTAAATCTCATCATCGTCAAATCAGAACCATCATCAAATACCATATTTTTACCTCTGAAACTTTTCCAACCTTCACAAAAAAAAAACAAAACCACAACTTCCCTTGATCTTCATCTTTACCAAATCAAAAGCACTATTGTCATAGATGAACCACACAAGTCATTGGTTTTGTTCTTCCGTCCATTGCAAAAAAAATTCTGATTTAATTTCATCATTAAATTTGTGTTCTCGTGTTTGAAGAAGAAAGAAATGAAAGAAGAGAGATAAAACATTGAATAAATAAATCAAGGGTGGTATTGTCTTTTACATATCCACAGTGAATGTCAAATAGTAACGAATAGAGAGAACTAATTATTCATTCTTCTGTGGTCATAGAGTATAGATACTCTTAACAATTTAACAAAAAAAAAAAAGCAGATGGGATAATTTTGTCAATTCTCAATACATTAAAAGAAAGTTATTGTTTTTTACATGTCAAACGCACATTTTTTCAGATTTTATATATTCTTTATTCATTTAATTCTATTATTTTATTTATCAAGCACTTTTAGTTACAAACTATATTCTTATACATATATATTTTTCGTAAAAATCTTACATATATGACTCTATTTTTTTATTATATATATAGAAGAATGTTTATAAACATTTACATTTATTGTATATATATATATATATACAAATAAATATAAATTCGATTCAACCACTATGTATTTTTAAAACATAGTGGAAATTTTTTAATAAGCTAATCCAATGAATATATCTTATTATAGACAAAACTGTTAAAAAATTATATAACATAAAGATTCTCCCGAATATGGCACTAGCTAGTGTATATTTATCACCAAGTTTTTGTGTTGACGAATTTATTCATGCATCCATCAAATATCCACTTTCACCTGCCCTCTCACATTATTTTTTCGATAGTATCAGAAATACAAAAACTTCACATTCTTTTCACAACAAAATGTCCTCTCTAGTATTCTTCAATTACAGAGGTGCGAAGCTGCGTTACAGCTTCGTCAGCCACCTCAGTGATGCCTTTGAGAGACATGGTATCAACTTCTTCCTAGACAATCATGAACAGAGGGGCAAAGATCTTGCAAATCTCTTTGTGCGAATCGAAGAGTCGAGGATCGCACTAGCCATCTTCTCCACAAGGTTATATTACATTCTTCACGTTACTACATATTCAATATCTCTTTTATATAGGTATTTTAGACTTTTGGTACTGATATTTAACAACGAATCTGGATCCGCCTGCTTGTCCTCATTGTTACTTTACTTCGTTCAGATTCAACTCTTTTGTTATTGGATGCAATTGCTCTTGATTTGTTTAATGATTCACCATACCAAATGATTTCTAATGGTGAAAATTAAAAGATAGTGTAGATATGCAGAGTCGAGTTGGTGTATGGATGAGCTTGTGAAAATGAAGAAATGTGTGGATAAAGGAAAGCTCAAAGTCATTCCTATCTTTTACAAGATTAGGGCAAGAGATGTGAGAGGACAGACAGGAAAGTTTGGTGACAAATTTTGGGAGCTAGCAAAGGTTTCTCGTGGAGATAAGATCAAGAAGTGGAAGGATGCTTTAGAATGTATCACCGGGAAGATGGGTTTGTCCTTGGGAGAAAAGTGGTAACTCACTAATCTTGATCTTCTTGGTCTTTTAAGACTATAAATAAAACTCTAAACCTATATATGATAGTTTTATGATTTATGATTTATATTCTTTTTCTCTCTTTGGCCAGTTCCGAAGCCGGTTTTATTATGGAAATCATTAAGGAAGTTAAGATAGTTTTAGCCGCAATTGGACGTGAAGGAAAAGAACATAATTATGTTAGTGTTTTAAAAAATAAGAAGAGAAAGATTTGGAATTGTACATATGAACCTGTTCACTACAAAAGGAGCAACATCCAGAAGTTCTAAAGTAAAACTCAAGCACATCTTCAGCGGCGTCAAGTGTTTAAAATGATGTGATTAGTTTCTTTGTTGTGGAGATCATGTACCTTGATTTTGTGTAAGACTGTAAGGTAAGAGAGTATAGAAGAAATTGTATAATAATAATTCAAAAATAGCTGGATCACTCTTTAGGTTTTCTTCTTGGTTCTTCTAATGCATGTGAACTCTATATTTAGCCTATTGTTGGGAGATATTATAGGAATATAATTTCATGTATTTCACAGACTGTATACATGTATGTATAAAATGAGAGAAACTAGGCTAAAGTTAACATAAGGTTACTTCATACAAAACAGAGGAATATTGAGGTAAAGAGATGATTAAGTCTATTGGTCCTTTGCTTTTCCGGCGATAACGGTATTGACGAGCGTAGCAGTGGGTAGGGGCTCTTAAACCGGAGGTGATGCTGTCGTCGGCCATCTTTAGATGTAATTTTTTTTTTTCGTCGAATGAAGTCATTATATTAGATGGTTTGAGAAGTCATTATATTAGATGGTTTGAGAAGTCGCTATAACATGAGGAACCAGATTATGAAAATAGAAAGTAGAGTTATAAGGGATTTGTTGCTTAGCAAAAAGATCAGCAGGTTTATTGCAAAATCCCGTTGTCACCAAGTGAATTGACAATCTGTGAATCTTTTCTTCTATCTTCGTGCTTCACTAATCCAGTTGAAAATACCAAAGTTGAGTTTGTGACCATTGAGCAGTTCCGCAACTGTCGCCTTAAAAGCATACCCTAATGAATCCATTGCTCCAACAATTATGCATTGCGAAGTTTAAGGCTTGGAATTCACTCTCTAAAGCATTACTGTCCATCTCCCTTTCGCTCTTGTAGAAAACAGCTTTTCTAGTTTTTAAAAAATGGTAAAGGATTTTCAAAACGTTTCATGAATTTTATAACTAAAATCAAAATTCAATCTGTCAAACAATAACTAAACCCACAGAAGTAATAATTTTTTTATAATTCATTTCACTTCCTCTTTTTATTTGACCAAATTTAATTCCCAACTAAACCAAAATCTATAACATGCAAGAAAAAAAAAAAGTCAAACCACAGAACCAAATTGTACGTTCTACTAACACAAATGTAGTAAAATCCAAAATAACATATGGCAATACGTTCAACAAATGTTGCGTACGAAATAAGGTAACAGAGTTTTTTGCCCTACTTTCAGTCTTTGGTACAAAAACATAAACATAGTTTCCAACTTTACTTGATGGTTGGATCGAAGAGAGCCATTGGAAAGCCCCCTACTTACTTACTTCATGTCAGATTCCACTACAGTCGCAGAAACTGTTGCGTCAATGTCCAACTTAATCCGTTTCTTTGGTTGCTTAGCATCTCCAGACACGGGCAGAGTTTCTTCTTCATGGCTGGTACCTGAGCATTCACCTTCATCTACATGTTCTGTGTTGTCCTCCTCCTCCTGGTTCTTCAGCTTCTCTATCACCTCCGCTACTTCTCTATTGACCTGTTTACACACAGTTCACCAAAGAGGTTATTCATGAGTTTCACTTAGAATCAAAAAGAAGATATATATGATGATGTTTCACCTGAGGGTTTTGGATAAATTCAGCAATGTCTGTTGGGCAACAAGGGCACTTCATGACATTCTTTTGTGCGCGTAGTGTTCGTCCACCTCTGCTTCTCTCTCTCATTAGAGTTTTCCCAGCAAATTTGGATACTAAACAAGCCTTGCAGAAGTTATGAGCACAAGGTGTTGTCACAGGATTAGTCATCACTTGCTGGCAGATCTGGCACTTAAATTCTGCATCAACAAAATCCCAATGACAGTTTTAGATGGATTGGAGAAAATTTCAGAAACAAAGAAAGAGGCTAATACTAAGATAACCATTTCGAAACATAACTTCCTCACTATAAACATTATAATAGCAAAGGTAGAGGAGAATTTGGACACACTAACCTTTCAGAAGTCTTGCCCTCATCGTATTCGAGTGTGTCGACGTCATGGCTTTCCTCAAAATTTTCCTCTCCTCAGGATCCTTAACATTATTAACTGGCTTTCTACTAGCAGGTGGCGGCTTCATCCATCGCCAACGACCCTCACCTTCCTGATCAAGTAAGCGTATATTATTAGTGGAGACAGGGGAAAGATTACAAATTAAGAACTGTTATACAATTGAGATGTCTTTATATAACAATGGGAACTTACATCAAAATCCCATGATGGACTTTCTTTTCTCTCAAATAGGTTTGTGGCCATATTAAGCTCCGGAACAATAGGCAAAGGTCTTGGACGATCTCCATGCTCATCACTACAATATATCACATCATACCTTAGTAGTTGAACGTATTGCCATCTGTTACCTTATTTCGTACGCAACATTTGTATAATATAGAAAAGGCGCACGACTACAAGAAGTTGATCAAACCTGGTCCATGGAGCTGGCTCATTGTCACATCTAATAAACAGGAAACGACAGACCTTATAAGAACCCTATATATGGAAAATAGAAAAATAGGTCAATGCATAAAAAAGAAGGCAATGGAAAATAGTTATCACAGTTGTTAGTTATATGTGTACCTGTACTCCAACTTTGATCCAACATTTCTCGATGCGGTAAACCCCATCATACCTTAGTAATTCTCCCTCAGGGGCGTATGCAGAATGCATGTCCTTGGAAGACCTGATCATATATGGAAAAAGTTAAGTGAAAAAGTAATTAAAGACGTTGCATGGAAATAGAGTTGTGCTCAAATGACCCCTAACCTGACAACTCGAACAGGATACCCCAGTTTGCAGCTAAGTCTTAAGGCTTCATTAGACTTTTCAAATTTTTGATCAAAACCCTGAACGCTGTTAGTCCTTAAGTTGCGAGTACTGAGATCTCTTCCCCCACTGTGTGACACATTGAAGACAAAATCTATCAGTCAACTGGAGATTATTTAGGGAAACAAATCCTAATAAGAATAAATCAAATCGACCAAAACCAAGTTTGGAGTAATGAAAGGCAGACCTTCCTGTGTATAGAAACCATTCTCCATGATCCTCATCATCCTCATAACCTCCAGCAAGCACAACAGACTGAGCTCCATAACTAGCTTGTCCAGCAATGCCAGAAACAAGTGGGAAGTGAACCCCCCACTGCCGAGCCGTATGTCGGCCCTTCCAGGATTCTCCAACCAAAACACCTTGGTTCCTAACAGGGTCATATTCAGCTGTTATAGGACCAAAGTGATCCCGTGGGATTGTTACAAAAATCTTGCCGCTGGAAGCATTCGCATTCCCTAGTTTCTTAGCTCGATCGGTTGTAAATGCTTTATCTGGACGGTCTTCATTACTGATGACGTGAACAACTTTCGAAGTACTCGCATCAACCCTCTTCGATAATCTTGCCAACCTAATAGCAGACACAATGGACAAGTTGATGTGGGGATTGCTTATCATGCTTTCAGGAACTACGCTACGACATGTTCCACAACTGCGATTTCCCTGTCCCATCCACTTCAAGAAACATTTCAAGCAAGCGTTGTGCCCACATGGTGTCTGAAAAAGAAACACACAAGATATCCGTCAGCCCTAATTAAATACTTATTTTGAAAAGAAGAAATTAACACTTAATGAAAACGTCTTGCAACTCCTACTACAGTTCCCCGTTTCCAATACTCATCAATGACAAAATTAATATGAAACACTAACTTAATTGTCTAATATAAATAAAGAGAAACATCCCATAAACGGCAACCAAACAACGATATAGAAACTATCATGCATCAACAAAAGTGTACACATACCAAATCATAACACAAGACGTTTATGGAGTGTTTAATTAATTGTGTCAATAATGTCTAAGAGAGAAACAACGAAAAGAAACTAAACACAAGATCCAAAACTAAACATAAAAACACGAACCGACACTGGTTTCTGTAGCAACTGCATACAGATTGAGCAGTGGAAGTGCGATAGCACATCCTCATCAACCGGTTTTTTTCCCTTTACCCTTCCTCTTCTTCTCTTCTTCGTCATCCTCATCGACTACGGCTTTACCACTCAGTAACTGTTGCCTCTTCTTAGCCTTCTCTTCGGCAGACAGAGAGTTATCCGCCTCAATCTCGTGGATCGCCACTACAAGATCTGAACCAACAGATCCATATCCGGGCGCAACGCCGGAAACAGGAAGAGCATCGGTTTCACCGGAGCAATCAGGACAAAGCCACTGTAAAGTAGATTCGAGGGTTTCGGGTGGTGAAGAAAGGCAGGACACGTGCCAAGGCGTAACGCACGTTCCGCAAGTGAGAGATTCCTCCGGCGGAGGGGTCGATTTGCATCGCATGCATACACCGGCGGGGTCACACGGGAATTGGGTGTCACGCGTCATTTCCGATGATGAGAATAGCCAAAAGATGAGAGAGAGAGAGAGATAAGGTGAAGAAGAGGGAGACAAAAAAAAAAAAGTGAAAAGGTTTTCAAATTTTTAGGGCTCAAATTAGCCGTATAAGGAAGGAAATATCTTTTAGTTGTCAAAAAACATAATTGTCTTTCTTACCAAAAAAATATATAATTGTCCTACTATAAAATATCTACCATTGAATATGGACTAATTATGATATTTGAACATTTAAGATAGTAAAATAATATTATTATTTTTAATATATTAAAAAGAAATAAATCTTTGAAAATTATTTGCCTTATATATTATTACAAGGTTTGTTCTCTGTATTTTGTTTTATCCCTTTTTAATACAAAAAAATGATAACAATGGATGTTAATTTTAATGTATGTGTATTAGAAGGTTCTCTATACCCACTTACAAGCGAAATGTGAGGATGGTCTACATGTTGATTTCACGTATTTAAACGATGTCTACGCGATAGTCACGTTTTCATTATCCCACATACACAACGTTGGCTCATGTCACCATAGGTTACAACCTATTTTCGTTTCATTGATGTCTTCTCAAGATATAACTCTATCTACTTGATTTGAAGACCCCAAAAAATGCAAACAGAAAAATATGTCTTTATCATTCATATGGATTTAAGGATCATGAGTTTTGTTTCTACTGCTACTAGATGATAGTATCTAGTAGACTCACAAGAATGATAGTATCTCTAAGTTGGTTTTTCTCCAGACTCACCGACAAATCCCATCTTTTCTCTAAATGATTTAGAAAGACACAAACTTATGAAAATATTTTTTGGTGCAAAAGAACCTTGACGTAAGTAAATAATGATTAACTAATTAATCATTCCTTCTCGGCAAAAGTACCACTTCTGATATATCTCGCAGTCTCACCATATGTTGTGAGGTTGTTACTTCTGATAAATATTTCTTTAGAAATTTTAGTAAATTTTGTTGCAATTGTACAAATATATTTGGGTCATTCTAACAAGTCCATATAACTAACAAAAATGCTTTCTAGAGGAATGTGTATTTCAATATTAAGAAACACAATCTCTCAAATAAAATTTGGAGTAAAATTGATTTGGTATCGGAGGCCGCCTCATCCCTAGGCTGGATCATCCATACCTGCCGGGCTTCTCATCTTCGGGAGATAATTGAGAGCATCAAAGCAATTCACCCGCCTTCTCCTAGAGCTGGGACAAGATGTAGTATATCTGCTAAACACACTTGGGAGCAGATCCGGCTACAACACCTATGCTTTATTGTCTTGTTTTCTCATCAGAATTCTGAGATGTTCCTTTATCACCTGACTTGCTTTTAAAGACAAGCTACGGAGTCATACAACCATGTCTACTATGTGGTGAGCCAGATGACAGTTCGTAGTTGCTCAGCCGAAGGTCAATCACATTGACAATTCTCTCATTCTTTTGTGTTTTTAAAGTACGATTTACCTTATATGGAAAGAACGGAATGGACGGAAGCATGGCCGGCCCTCATATTGCTGGGACCAAATAACTAATTTTGTTTTCTTAAGGTTATTTTAAAAGGTTTTAAAAATAGGTGCATATTATTGTAAAAATGAATAAAATTGGCGTCTATATGTAATAAAGTTTTTCCGATGGGTTTTAGAAATAGTTGGGGGCCAAAGTTGGGGGCCAAAGCCCATGTTTCATTGGGCGTTGTCCAGGATGGGTCATGGACAGAAGCACCAACGTGCCCATAATACTTCGCACCAGCTCTCTGGATTCATTGAAAAGTCATAAGAGCTCGGATGTCGTCTTTGTGTTACTCACCTGACTCAAAGAATGGTGGTATGTATGTGGATTCTCACTCACCGATGATGCTATGTTTGTGACGTCGTCTCTGTTTTTTATAAGCTATGTTTCAATGCCTCTATTTTATGTCTTTTGATCTCTTGAAGCATAACTTATTTATTTTATTTTTCAATGCCTCTATTTTGTTTTTGTTGATGAATTATAAATTTAACATTTAAACAGACAAAAGAAAAAGATTTCTTCAACTATTTTCAATTTCGAATGTTTTTATCTACAAGTTAAATTGTTGGCATGATTTAGTTTTTTTTTTGTTGTGATTACGATATGTAGATGTTTTTATCTACAAGTTAAAGTATTTTTTTTTTCCTGTAAACTACGCATTAGTTTCATGATTGTCCAATCCGGAGGAGAAAAGTTTACAAATGTAACTTCATAAAATTGAAAGTCTAAAAGATCGAGCTAAACAATCCGTTTTAGAATTACATAAACGAGAAATAGAAAAGAGAGAAATAACAGGGGAATGGAGTCACAGAGCAATCCAAATTCATCTACCAGATTGAAGAAAGCGGATCATTCTTCAAGGGATTGCAGCATCAAGACTAACTCTGTACAATCTGTTTTAAACGCCTGACATTCAATCATTCTTGAAAGGTTATTCTTCATAGCCCAAATTAACGCTTAATTCCATCTCCGAGTGAAGGGGGGATGGACACCCCCGAAGACACTTTGCACCATGCAGTATTGTTTGATCATTTCCTTGGAAACACCACCATCCTAGACCATAGTTGGATCCGAAGATTTCAAAGCAATATAGAATTTTATTTCTGTTGTTAAATATGTTGTATTTAAAATCATAATCTAAATAGTGTGATAAAATGACCAAAAAATCTATTAAAATTGTGTGAAATCTTACAGTAAAATCTATTTATATTTACTTTTGTAATTTTTTCTATTTGATGTTTTTCGTTTCTATTTTTTTCAACCGTAATTAATTAAAAAGCTCACAGTATTTGGAAGTTAAACAACGAAAAATATACAACTTCTTGTATCCTTCTTCTCCCAAATACCTAGTGTAAGATCGAGTCTAAAAACCAAATGATCCTTGTTCCATATATACATATCACAAATATGTCTCCTTGAAATAGTTAATTTTAATTTATATGGGTACTTAATTTTTTACTACTACTACTACAGTACTAGTTACTTCAACTAAAATAGATCCTTAAAAATGTTAATAGATGCTTATATACTATACACTAATAAAATCATCAAAACAATGTTAACATATATCAAACCACACCAACTGGTTGGCGTGAACGGAATGCTCGTATTCATGGTAATGATTTCTCGACGCCACGCCAACTGGTTTGAAGCATAGAGAAGCTCATCCGAAACAGAATTAGATCTCTCGATTATTCAGCTAAGCCTCGTCTCCGTCTTCTAATGCAGCGGTGGCTCATGGTCAGGCCTTAATCAGTTAATCACCACTCGTAGCTTCCAGACAGTCCCGTTTCATGGCCTGGTTTTATGCTCTGATTTTTGACTCGTTGTTATGACTAGAAGGAAATGTACACTTTGTACATAACATTTACCTCTTTTGATTAATGTATTACACATTTTAACAATAAAAAAAATCATATATCAAACTAATATTTTTATATATGTATCACTTAATTATTATATGAGAAGTTATTGTAACTTACTCCGCTTTTATCGAATTAACTAACAAAAGTTGAATGTATTTGCACGATTACGAGAAGTAGATCAAACATGGTCCATGGAAGACGTTGCATGCAATTAAGTTGTGCTCAAATAACCGCTAACCTAACAACTCAAACAGGACCTAGTTCGCAACTACATCTTAAAGTTGTATTAGACTATAAAAATTGTTGATCAAAAGCGTAATCCTTTTTAGTCTTTCCTGTTGCGGCTGAGATCTCTTCCCCCATTTTGTGACACATTCAAGACAAAAAGAGATAAAATCTATCAGTCAATTGGAGAAACAAATCTATCAGTCAATTTATCATCATCATCAAATGGTAGCAGCTTAATTTAGACATTACATTGTTCTTGTAGCATGACGTATAAATATCCAAATAGATACAAAGATCACAAGATTATGTGTGTTCATTGTCGCCAGCAATTTGAATATTTTGAGTGTCCGGCTCCATTGATGACTCCGTAGACTTACGAAAACCACCATCTCATTAGAGCGACAGCCAGAGCGAGTCAGGTTTCAAGCGTACCTTATATTCTGGTGGTTCTTTCAACAGTGCCTAAACCTGTCTTGACATCTCAAAGATTTAGTGAACCAAAATCTAAAGTTAAGGTTAAACCAAAAGTTGAAGTTAAGGTTGAACTACAACCTCCATTAAGAGGTTCTGTTCATGTAAACCAATTAAGGAGAGCTAGTGGAGGAGAACGCAAAAGAAAGGGACGTCCATCAAGAAACTTGCTTCATGTTCCTCAGTTAAGAAGAATCAACGAAGATGCATGGATCAAACGTGATAGACCGGAGATTACTCCAAGTATGATTCGAAGTGCTTTGATGGAAAATGATCAGAGTATGATCAAACTGACTCTTAAAAGGTTAGTTTCTCCTTCTGAGCAAAATAATGTTGGTTCTTTGGCAACAAAAGTCCATCAAGACTCAGAGAAATGCAATGCAACGAAAAGAGTGAAGTGTGAAAGTAAGAACACTAATGATATGGTTATGGAGGAGGAACCTAAAGTAATGGTTATGATTGTTCCATATGCTGATTTCTACAACAACGAAAAGGATTTGATCGAAGCTTCGTTTGGAGAAAACCAGGTATGGGCTGCTTATGATCACTACGGAATGCCCGATTGGTATGCACTGGTCGATAAGGTTGTCTCTCAAGAACCGTTCAAGATGTGTATTTCTTGGCTGAATAGTAAGAAAAATGAAGAACTGGGTCCACTGATTTTGATTGATTCAAGGTTTTACAAGACGAGTAGACGCTTCTCAATCGGAAAGCGAAAAAATTGTGATTATTTAGGAAAACAAATCCTAATTAGAATAAAATCAAATGGACCAAAAGTTATCGTCCGCTTTGATTTATGATATTCGGATTGCTTGCCATGCTTTCAGGAACCACACTTGCTTTTGGTCCATTGCAATCCCCGTATCATAATCACAAATTTTGCTCTTACCGATTGAGAAGCGTTTGGTTTTTTTGTAAAACCCTGAATCAGTCCACTTCATTGGACCCAATTCATCATTTTTCTGGATATCCACCCAAAAAATACACATTTTGAACAGTTATTAAGACACAACCTTTTGACCAGTACATACCACCGGGGCATTATGTAATCATCATAAGCAGCCTATACCTTTTTCTCCAAACAAAGCTTCCATCCGGTACTTTTTAAAGTTGTAGAAATCATCATCTCGAACACTCATAACCATTACATCAGGTCACTCCTCCATAACCACATCATTAGTGTTCTTGCTTTTACACTTTACTCTCTTCGCTGCATTGCATTTCTCCGAGTCTTGAGGGACTTTTGTTGCTTCAGAACCAAAAATATTTTGCTGAGAAGGAGAAACTAACCTATAAAGAGTTAGTTTGAGCATAATTTGAGCCTTTACCATCAAAGCACATTGAATCATACTTCGAGTAATCTCCGGTCTATCACGTTTGATCCTCGCGTCTTCGATGATTCTTCTTAACTAAGGAACATGAAGCAGGTTTCTTGATGTAGGTCCCTTTGTTTTGCCTTGTTTTCCACTAGCTATCCTTAATTGGTCTACATGATCAGAACCTCTTAATGGAGGTGGTTGTTAAACCTTTAACTTCAACTTTGGTTCAACCTTAACTTCAGTTTTTGGTTCAACCTTAACTTCAACTTTTGGTTCACCAAATCTTTGAGATGTTAAAATAGGGTTTAGGCACTACTGACAGAAGCACTAGAAGATAAGGCATGCTCGCAACCTCACTCGCTCTGTCTATCGCTCTCTTGAGTAAATGGTTTTCGTAAGTCCATGGAGTCATCGATGGAGCTGGAGACTCAAAAGCTTCAAATGGTTGGCAACAATGAAGGCACATAATATTGTGATCTTTGCATTTATTTGGATATTTATACGTCATGCTACATGACGGCATAATAGCCAAAAGCTGCTACCATTTGTTAATGATGATGATGATGAATTGAATGACATATTTTTTAGGGAAACAAATCCTAATCAGAATAAGTAAAATAGACCAACAACAAGCTCGGGGTAATGAAAAGCAGACCGACCTTCCTGCGTATTGAAACCATTCTCCATGATCCTCGTCATCCTCATAACCTCCGGAGAGCACAACGAGCTCCATAACTAGCATGTCCACCAATTCCAGACAAAGGTGGGAAGTGAGCCCCCACTGCCAACATTCAAGTCGACCCATCTAGGATTCTCCAACCAAAAGACATTGGTTCCTGACAGGATCATCTTCAGCTGATATAGGACAAAAGTGATCAGGTGGGATTGTAACAAAAATCCTTCCACTTGAAGCATTTGCATTTCGTGGTTTCTTCGCGCGCTCAGTTGTAAATGCTTTCTCTGGACGGTCTTCATTGCTGATGAAGTGAACAACTTTTGAAGTACTCGCATCAGCCTAGAGACTCTTGCTATCCTAATTGCAGACACATTGGAGAAGTTGATATAGGGATTGCTTGCCATGCTTTTAGGAACTACGCTGCGGCATGTCCCACAACTGCGGTTTCTCTGACCCATCCACTTCAAGAAACATATCAAGCAAGCGTTGTGCCAACATGGTGTCTGAAAAAAGAAATACACAAGATAAACGCAGCGGTTGCGGTTGCGGTTGTGGGAGTTTGCGGAAACAAGCGGTTGTGGTTTCAAGCGTTATTTAGCGTTTTGACTGACTAGTTTAGCGGTTGAAAACTGGGATGTTTGCGGGATATTTAGGACTGGTTGATCAGCGGGTACGATAACGGTTAAACAAAAATTTACCGAAATAAATATAATATACAATTATGAGATAGTATAAAAACACCAAAAACTATATTTTTATCAAAAAGTATAAAATTTGTAAGCATGATAAATAATTAAAAACCATAAATAATAACTAATTAATTATTAAAATATGAAACAAATAACTTTTACAGAACACAAATAACTATTAATATTGGAAAATTAAACTTAGATAATTTTTTTTTTTTTTGAGAATTAACGTGAATATATATAGAACTTGATAATATATATTTTAATTAAGTTTCCTTTTTAGTTTCTTTCCTTTTTGAACCAACCGCAACCGCCCGCAACCGCGAGCTTTTGAAATCCGACGATTTTGAGAGGTCCGAAGCGGTATGGAACGGTTTATATGATTGGTACTAACCGCTAACAACGCAACAGACCGCTAAAACCCCGTTAGGCGGGTGATAGCGGAAGAATCAATCAAGACCTTAAATAATTGTTTTGAAAAGTAGAAATTAACACGTAAATATAAAAAATTTATTGCAACTCCTATTACTACAGTTTGTACAGGTCCTCGTTTTTCGAATACTCATCAGTAATTATCTACTCTAAATAAAGAGAAACATCCAATAAAATGGCAACCAAACAACAATATAGAAAAAATCAATCGTCAACAAAAGTGTACACATACCAAATCCTTACACAACACGATGATACACACCTCTCAACTAAACAATCTAACCCAAAAATGGTAAAATAAAAAGGATAACTTAAAACAAGTGTATTAACAACCGTGAACTATAAATGTAGCTAATCACAACAATTAAGTCTAAGCGGCCTTTGTAAAAAGAACGAACAAATAATTGTGTTAATAAAGTCTAAGCCACAAAGCTCAAATTAGTACATCAAGCAAGGAGAAACATATTTGAGAAACACACATAGAGGGTGGTAGAGTATACGCACCTTCACGGGGTTTTGTAGAACCCTGAAGTGAGACAACACATCCTTATCCTCATCCTCATCCTCATCGACAGGTTCTTCTTCTTCTTCTTCATCCTCATGGACCAGGGCTTTACCACTCAGTAACTGTTGCCTCTTTTTAGCCTTCTGTTCACAGTTCCATCTGCCTCAATTGCGTGGATCGCCGCTACAAGATCTGAACAAACAGCTCCATACCCGGCCGCAACGCGGGAAACAGGAAGAGGATCGCTTTCACCAGAACAATCAGGACAAAGCAACTGTAAAGTAGATGCTAGGGTTTCGGGAGGTACCGAAAGACAGGGCACGTGCCTAGGCGTAACGCACGTGCCGCAAGTGCGAGATTCCTCCGGCGGAGGCTTCGATTTGAATCGCATGCATACACCTTCGGGGTCCCACGGGAATTGGGTGTCACGCGTCATTTCCGATGATGAGAATAGCCAAAAGATCAGAAAGAGAGAGAGAGAGATAGATAAGGTGAAGAAGAGGGAGACAAAAAAAAGTGAAAAGGTTTTCAAAGTTTTAGAGCTTCAAAGCCGTATAAGGAAGGAAATTTCTTTTAGTTGTCACAAAATATAATTGTCCTACTATAAAATAGGAACCTTAGGTTTACCCATGGGGTGAACATTTAAATTCACCCAACAGATTATAGCCAATCGTTTTGCCATGTCATTACTAATACTAGAGAATTAAAAAAAAAAACACAATTAAAAAAAAAAAGGAAATCAGAAAATAGATTTAGGGTTTAGGGTTTAGGGTTTAGGGTTTAGGGTTTAGATTTTACAATTAAAACGAAATTAGATGTCGGTTTGGGTTGCCAAATGAGTGGTTAAAGTTTAGATTTTATAATTAAAACGAAATTAGATATCGGTTTGGGTTGACAAATGAGTGGTTAGGGTTTAAATTTTACAATTAAAACGAAATTATATATCTGTTTCGGATGCTAGCGTATGGTTTACCAGCAAATGCCACAGATGAGTACGTTAAGATAGGTGAATCAACCGCAATCAAAAGTTTGAAAAGATTTTGTCAAGCTATAGTGGATATATTTTCGCATCAATACTTACGATCACCAACAACTAATGACATTGCAAGGCTTCTTTACATTAATGAAAAACGAGGGTTTCAAGGGATGTTAGGTAGCTTGGATTGCATGCTTTGGAAGTGGAAAAATTCTTCTACTGACTAGGCTGGACAATATGCGTGTCGTAGTGGATCACCAACATCAATTCTTGAAACTGTGGCATATTATGTTCTTTGGATATGTCATGCTTATTTTGGAATGCCAGATATGTATTGGAATCTTCTCATCTTTTCTCCAATCTCGCTCAAGGTATATATAGCTCCTCCTGCTAACTATGACATTCAAGGAAAAAAGGGTTATTTTTTGGCTAACAAAATATATGCAAAACAAATGTTGTCACACAACAAGAAGCGTGCACAAAATATATGAAACACGCCTTTGGAATTCTCTAATCACGTTTCACAATTGTGAAAGGACCGTATCAATTTTGGGAAAAAAGGTGCATGATATAATGACTACATGTATAATTTTACGTAACATGATAATCAAAGATGAGCGTGATCTTAATGTGCCAATTGAAGTTAGAAGAGAAGCTCCACCTACAGAGGTCGAAATAGCGAAGAGTTTTTTGCTCGATATAATCAAATCAAAGACAAATGAGCTAATTTCTCATATCGAAAAACATTAGTCGATCATTTGTGGAAGAATTACATTGATGATGATGCTTAAATAAAATGATGCAATCAAACTTTACTCTTAATAATATGGTTTTATTAGATATTTGTTTAAAAAAAAAACTAAGTGGATAGATAGAAAATTTTAAAGTAAAGGACTATGCCAGAAATTAAAATAATATATTAGAGCAAAAAACATAACCAGAGCAAGCTTCTGCTCTAATTAGAGAACTCCAAATTTGGAACAAATAATAAAACCAACTATTAGAGATGGTCTTAGTTTTTTTTGTTTTAAGAACTCATTGGGATATTCGCAATGGAGGTGCTCTTAAGTAAAAATGAGGGTAAGCATAATCATGAGATTGAAAAAAATATTTTATATGGGAAACACTATTTTTATGTATGAATTCTATTTAAAATATTTAATCTGTATATATTATTTAAATATTATATGCATATCAAAATATTTTTGGATTCATTAACAAAAAAATAATAAAAACAAAATAAAAAATTGACATTTATATAACATTGACATCCAAAATATAATATTAGAAGAATATTATTTAGAGAACTAACTAGAAACATCAACCAATATATCTATCTTTGTATACAACAATTAAGAAAAAAATGTACCCATTACAAATAGAACAAACATTTCAAATTTGAAGTTTAAATATAACAAAATAATTTGTCTATAAAAAATAGTCCGGCGGTGTTATATATTGTGTTTGCTATAGTATTTATTCTCAATGAGAAGAATCTGTTAGGAAGTTAAACTCGTCGATCTCTCAGAAATATTTTCTTTCATCTCCTAAACTTGATATATATATCAAAATTTTTATTAGTTACTTTTCATGTTACATAAATTAATTAATGATAAAAAAATAAAAAGATAAAAACACTAACAATTGGACAATTAATTCTTGAGAAACAAATTGGTATATAAGAGAGAAGGATAATGTGATATCGAATATTAAATATATTTAAATATGAAATATATATATATATATTAATATATTAAATATTAAATCTTAATTCCAAAATATGATTGATTTGAAATATCAACACAAAATATTAAATAAATTTAATTTAAAATATTGTTGTTCAGTACTACAATAAATATACAATATATTTTTGATAATGAATATTAAATGTTAATTTAACACAAAATATATAGGTATTAAATGAACAAATATTTTATTACACTTTTATTGTATACGTTAACTCATCTCATAAAAGAAAAAAAAAATTAAACCATATCGTAAGAAAATAGATTTTTATTGTATATGTTCTCATTTTCATTCTAAACAAAAAAAACAAATCAGACTTTATACCAATCATACATGCGCTTTCGTGGTGCCAGATTACCCTCTAAGTAAACTCCATCAGTTTTGGCAATCCATCTACGTATCTGACCACATCTTCGAGTAGAGCCGCCTCTGTATGCTCTCCATAACATATGCTGATTTTCCATTTTAGGACCTTGTCTCAAGAGGCACTTCCATATTGTTCTTTTGAACGGATTCTCGTTGAATTTCCATTCTGTAGTTTCCTGGAACCTCACATCTCTAACTATATTGTTATTTTTGGATGTGCAATTAACTTTGAGAATACTCCCAGGTGTGAGTTCATTCCGAAATGCTAAAATGCTATTTTCGCAAAACATAGCTGCTTCATTCAAACAGAAAAACATCGAAAGGAATAACATGATGAAAACTGTGTGCTGATTCATGTTTAAATCTTTTATTATTTTTCAAAATAACATGAATCTAAAACATCAAATTGAGCCTATATATATATATATATAGTTTTGTTAGTGACACTTTCATTTTTTATTGAGTAAATTTTTAAAGAATAGCTAAATTAAGAAACATACACCAACCTATTAATCCACTGGCTGGAGGATAATTTATTGCCGGAAACTAAGGTTGGCCGATATAACTTTAAAATCAATGTTCACCACTAAAACTTAAAAATGAAAAGCAACGACAGAGAAAAATCTAAGAAAAAAACTTTCAAGTTGAAACACTTTTCCAACTAAAACTCCCAAATTTTGGTATTACTATTTCAAATCTCTAACTAAATAACCTTACATAGAAAAACATTCAAGTAAACCTGAATTAGTATTGACCGTTAAATAATAATTATGTTAACTACCGTTAATGATAATATAATATTATTGTATCTAAAAAATTAAAAGAATAAACAAAATAGTTTAATTAAAAATAATAATAGTTTTATTTAATATCTCTAGTACAAACAATTAGTTGGATTAATGTAATAAAATTCTGCAATATGGGTCCGTGGCCGGGAGTAGCCCACTGCCGACAAGTAAATTTAGCAGGCTTTTACTTATTTATCAAATAAAATTCAACTAAAATACTAATGACTAGCTGAATATAAGTAGCAAGTTGCTGTGGAATGTAATTTTAGTCCCGGCAAATTTTGAAAAGAGTTAGTTTGATTGTTAATTCTAGAATATTATATGTGGTATATCGTCCCGTATTAATTTCGATCTAATCCTATTTTACCATATACTACGTCTCGTGAGCTTAGTGATATTTTATAATAAAATTTATTATTGTCGTTTATACTGTATGACGATAAAAAAATTTAGAGTTAATGTTGATTCTATACCCGTTATGCTATGTGATTCAGGAGCTCTTAAAATTTGTTTTTTTTTTGATAAAATTAAAGTAAAATAATTATTTATTGATAATCTTATGATATTTAATATAAAAATTCGTAAATATTATATGATGTTGATGTGTGATGTATAATGGGTACAATAGGATCTTATGTTACTCAACTAAAATATTAGAAATAGTAAATGATTTGTTTTATTATGTAAAGTTTTGTTACAAAAAATAATTGCTTCGACCAATACCAAGATTGTTGATGTTGGATCACTCTTTCCTTGTCGATAATGAAGAGCCTTCTCAGTGCGCTCTTCCCTGTTTGTACACAAATAAAGTTTTTGTCTTTATTTATCCCAAACATTTTGAAAGTTAAAAAGAAAGTACTCAACGCTTTAAAAGCTAACAATCATGGATGAGCACTCCAAAAGATTTTGAGATTTATTTAGTGACGTCCCATTTAGGTAGAACTAAGTGGACACTCAAACGTAAGGATGAGTCAAACAATTTACACACAGATGACAGATCATTACATGGTGATGTCAACCAAGGATGAGAAACTAAGTATAGTAAGATAGTATTTGTATAATCATGTATCGTGTGTTTAGATATTGGAAAAATGAGAGAGTATACAATATTCTTGAACTTTTTTTGAGTTTTAATTAAAAGTTGTTGACAAAAACAAATGAGAGAGTATATATAGTGTTTTGATAAGTTTGTAGGGTTTAAAGTTAGATAATATTCAAAAATATTGATGAACAAGTATTTGATATCTTTGAAAATCTTTAAATCGACACGAACAAAGAATATTATACATAGATGCTTAATCAAATAAGGATAAAATCGTTTAGTTAAGATATTTCTAATTCGTTTTATTGCATTGAATATCGAATTTATATAGTTCATTTTATTTACAAAACAAATGTTAAATGCAATAAAATCCGTAACATTAAAATAGGAATTCATTTGATTAGCAAAATATTTATTTGTTATAACTACATATACGATTGATATCTTTCCAAAATCAATCAATTAATTCTGTTTTTTTTTTATATATGAATAATAAAGCCAAAATTGAAGATCTAATTGACTCAATTTTGGAAAGATCTGAATCAAAGATTTCCAGGTTAAAATCAATTAAAACCCAACCTGAAAGAATGAGTAAATATGTACTTCAAAAATGTTAAGTAGACTTAAGATTTGAATTTTTGATTTAATATTTCGTAAACAATTACATTTTCCATTTAATATAGTCGATTGTTATGGAAACAAAATCATAATTTTGGTCTTTTGATTTTATAAGGAATACTGTTTACATATGTAAATCGAAAAAAACCATTTATAAGGAATACTGTTTACATATGTGATATGTAGCGATTCGGTACGAACTTTTCGTGCCAAATTATCTACTTTTATATTTGCATTGCGAGAGATTAAAAATAAAGAGAAGCTTGAATAGGCGGGCCATTCGGTTGGAGAAAACACCATCTTCACCAGATCTGAACAGTCTGTAAAAAAAGACTACATCTTGGTTGTTGACACCAACCATACACTTCATCACACAGAGTAGAGCTTCCAATTTTGTATGTAGTGAAGATAGACTTATACGGATGTTAGCAGCTCCCATGATTTTTTTCTTTTAATTTTTAAATTCAATAATACTAATGACTAGCCTCGGCATTCGGATTTCAGATCGGATTCGGTTCGGATTTATTCGGATTCGGATAATTCGGATAGGAGATATTATTATCCGTTCGGATTTTATGACTATTCGGATCGGGTTCGGTTCGGATAGTGTCGGATTCGGATCGGTTTTGGATCGGTTTTATGAGAAAAAAAACTAAAAAATGTTCAATTTAAATAAAAAATAGTTTAATTTTACTAAAATTTGGCTAAGTTTTCCAAAAATATGTATAATTTTAACAAATATAACTAAAAACTTTCAGATATCTAGGTTATTTAAGATATTTTTGTTATTTGTTATAAAATTATAGCTAAATATAACTAATATTTGTGGATATATAATTTTATTTTTGGTTTTCGGATATCTTTTCGGTTTTCGGTTCGGATCGGGTTCGGTTCGGATAATTCGGATAAGAGAATTCATTATCTGTTCGGGGTTTGTGACTATTCGGTTCGGATTCGGAGCCGGATTTTTCGGATCGGTTTCGGATCGGTTTTCGGATTTCGGATTTTATGTCCAGGCTTACTAATGACTATCCATATAATATTGCATAACAAAAAAGTCTTTTAGTTTTTAGCGATTCCCAATTAATAGTATAGATAAAAAAAATAAAATATAAAATCACAAAAAAATAGAAACGAAATTGTAAAGAAAAATTAAAAGCAAAAAATCCTTGGAAAATCTAATTCCTAAAATGAAGTAAAACAAGAAATTCTCAATTAATTTGAAATGTTTTTTATCTTTCCATTATCTAATATTTAACTATCTTTTGATGATAATCTAATCTTATCGGCTTTGATTGGTGAACAAAAATAAAGTTGTACAGCTTTGTACAGCTTTGACAGTTACCAATCACAAAAACTTTAAGAAAAGCGGTACACTATAACATAAACAGTTTTTTTTTGGACAAAAACAAAAACAAATTAAAACGGTTACGGTTAAATACAGTTATGGTTAAATACGGTTACGATTAAATACGGTTATAACGGTTACGGTTAAATACGGTTATAACGGTTACGGTTAAATACGGTTACGGATAATTACGGTTATAGTTATTTAATGACTACAATACGGTTAATATCGGAGGCGAAATCTTACGAGTTACCTAACTTATTATAATACTTTTCATAAAATCAAAAAGTATGTTACAAACCAAATTTTCTTCATTTCGAACAAAATAACAGTATAACATATTTGTTTGAGAAAAAGATTTTTTATAACGTAGATTTTTTCATATGCGGTATCATTTACTTTTTTAAAAATCTTAATCTGAACATTCGATAATTGTTTTTGCATTATATGGAGTTACAATTATATTTTTAAAGTTTTAACTATGCGGTTAACCATATGGTTAAATAACGGTTTTCATATGTTTACCGTTAATTAACGGTTACGGTTAATATATTTTTTAACTGTAACTAATTATTTTTTACGGTTAACGGTTACGGTTTTTAACCGTTTTATACGGTTACGGTTGAGAAACGGTCCGTAACCGTAACCGTATTTTGGATCGTAACTGGACCAAAAGCTAACCGTAACCGTATTTTGGATCGTAACTGAACCGTTTTTCAACCGTAACTGTATAAAACGGTTAAAAACCATAACCATTCACCGTAAAACTAGATTAGTTACGGTTAAAAAAAATATACTAACCGTAACCGTTAATATACCGGACACGTATCAAAACCGTTATTTAACCGTACGATTAGCCGCACGGTTAACCGTATTATTAACCGCATAATTAAACTTTATAAATTATAATTGTAACTATGTATAATGCAAAAAAAAAAGTCTCGAATGTTCAGATAAAGATTTCCGAAAAAGTAAATAATACTGCGTATGAAAAAAATCTCATTAGAAATAATGGTTTTTTTCTCAAACAATTATTTTGGAATGTTATATTGCTCAAAATGAAGAAAATTTTTATTTATTATAGGACTAGTAAATTCATATTATTATTCTAACAATAAAATATTGTTCATTCTATATAATCTTAATTTTCATATGTAATTATATACTAAAGTACATTTCTATGTAATTTTTTTTCTTTCTAAATTCTTAATATTATTTATTATGTGTACCGCTATGATGTTTCCAATCAGAGTAAATTTTTAAAATTTGTTCTGCGTTATTTTTTTGTACAGCTTTCGTGTTTTATTCTTTTGTACAGCTTTGCACTATTCCCTAACAGCTAACAGCTCCAGCTAACCGCTCCAGCTAACAGCTAACAGCTTGTTACCAATCAGACCCATCGTGTCTCACTCTCACACCAAACACAACTGGAAGCAGAAGAACAGTAAAGTTGAAAACGTAAGTGTTTGTTCGCTCTACTCTTGATCTTTTGATTTTAAATTTTGGTTTTTTTCGATTCTCTTCTATTTGATCTGTGATAAAAACGAAACCTTTATGTACTTTGTGAATCATCTCTGGAAATTTGGAAAACCAAGTTTCGTAATTGATGCCCAAATCTCGATTCTTGAATTCATTGAGGTTTATATGAACTAAAATCAATCAAAGTTTTAGTCTTTTCATTATCTGATTATTCAATTTTTAATCTTGTTTATGAACCATTCTCAGATCTATCATGAGCGTTGAAAACAATGAAGGGTCGTCCAAGAACATGTGGAAGGATCTTCCTTTAGAGCTTCTAAGTTCAGTAATGGCTTATCTTGAAATCAAAGATAACGTAAGAGCTTCTGTTGTATGCAAGTCATGGTATGAAGCCGCGGTTACGGTTAGGGTCATAGACCAACCTCCTTGGCTCATGTACTTCCCTAAAACCAAGAACACTTGCGAGTTTTACGATCCGTTGGGTTGCAAGAAGTATACAATGGAGCTGCCTAAATCGTTAGCGGGCTCTATTGTTCATTACTCGACAGATGGATGGTTACTTATGAGTAAGGAAGATTCATCAGACTTTGTCTTGTTCAATCCATTTACTATGGATGTTGTGGTTTTGCCTTTTCTTCAGTTGTGGAACTATTATCAGTTAGTGGGTTTCTCTTGTGCTCCTACGTCAAGCGATTGCGTTGTGTTTATTATCAAGGATTATGATCCTGGCCATGTCACTATTCGTACTTGGAGTCCGGGTCAAACGATGTGGACTTCAATGCAGGTTGAGTCTCAATTCCTTGATACTGAACATAATAATGTTGTTTTCTCAAATGGTGTGTTTTACTGTCTCAATCGAAGAAACCTCGTTGCGGGTTTTGATCCCTCTTTAAGTACATGGAATGTGTTTGATTTACCGCCACCTAGATGTCTCGATGAGAAGAGTTGGAATCAAGGAAAGTTCATGGTGGGTTATAAAGGAGACATATTTGTGATACGTACATATGAACACAAGGATCCTTTGGTGTTTAAACTCGATCTTACTCGAGGTATTTGGGAGCAGAAGGATACACTCGGTAGTTTAAGTATTTTTGTGAGTAGTAAGTCATGTGAATCGAGAACTTATGTTAACGAGGGGATGTTAAGGAATAGTGTGTACTTCCCTAAGTTGTGTTACAATGAGAAACGTTGTGTGGCGTATTCGTTTGATGAAGGGAGATACCACCCGCTTGAGCATAATCTTGATTGGGGATACCAGCTTTCTTCTGATAACATTTGGATCGAGCCTCCCAAGAACGCTTTTGAGCTAGTTTAAAAGTACATATTTTGGCAATGTTTGTATGGAGTTTTTATGAGTTTGATCTGGGCACATCTTAGAGATGGTGACATATCTCCACTAGTATGTTATATGATGAGAGGTTTGAAAATGAGCTGTTTGGATATTGTTATGTCAACTTCTTGCTTACCGTTTGAGCTTCATAAACTTATTGCTCAACTTCGATTAACTTTTTCTTCTCTTTCGATGAAATTTTTTCCTTCTGGTCTTTTTAGTATAATGTAGAGTCAGAACTCCCATGATCAAGTATCTTGTAGAAGTGACAATGCTTCTTGCAACACTAGGTTATCCAAGCTCCTCTTGTTCCTGACTCGATGAAAAAGAATTTCTCTCGTGGTCAAGATTTTCCTTGGTTGATACACCTCTTTCCCGGGTTGGATTGACATCCGATATTTCACACCGGATCAGTCCAATCGAACTTGAGTCCGCGCCCATTTCCCTCTCCTTAGATAATCCAACATCTTTGCCAACTTCATTGAGTCCATTTAACCAAACACAATCCAATAGCTTTAATACTAAAAAGGTTAAAATGAAATCATACTTTTATTTTGTCCAACTTACAAAATATTTTTGGTGAATAAAAACATTAAACCATCTCAAAATGCATAAGGTCCATTATCATGATGTATTTTTCATGGTGGATACTTGTTTCGACTATGTTACGAAATAGAACATCCATTAGGATTCTCATCACTAAACATGTTATAATGTTTAGCCATCTCCTTTTCATAATCAGTAATTGGGTTGAGATATACATTTCTGTCCTTGTCAATTTCTTCATAAATCTCTGCAACTCTTTTTTCTTCTTCAGCCTCCTTTAACATCATTTCAGATTCCCACTCCTGCCTTTCCCTTTCAGCCTTCTTAATCTTTTGTTGCATCTTCTTTTTAAGTTTTATCGACAATTCATCCTTATCAAAGTTACCAATGACCACAACCTTTTTATTTTCTAGATCCATTACATATGTTTCAACACCTAATCATACATAATTAAGAAAATTTTATTAAAATAAATCACACATTACATTATATATATATGAAATTGATAAAATAGATAGTATACCTGTGCATTTGGAAATAAAATTTCCAAAACTTTTCTCGTATTTTTCACAGAGAAATGGTATAACGAACTCCACTTTCATTATACTACAAAGTATCAAATTAAGAAGAGTTAAGACAATATGGTTAACAAAAAAAAAAAAAAGTAGTTAAAACATTCTTTTTTTTTTGGTAGGCAGTAGTTAAAACATTCTTGCCACTTACTTAGTAAATTAAAAATTAAAACTACTATATATTAATTTACCTTGTTTCCGGTTTATCTTCATTTTGAACGGTACCATTAGATTTCTCATTCTTCATCACAATTTCTATCTTTTTACCAGTTTTTTTCTTTAGAGTCTTCACCAATTTATGCAAATTAAATTCACCACTGATCAGAACTTTTTGATCATCTACATCCGTTATGCATGATTTAACTCCTAAAAACAACATTGTAAAACTTAAAAAAACGTAGATATTACATTATATAAAATATGTATTGTAAATAAAAGTTTCTGATTTTCTTGCCTTCGAATTGGCAAGCAACTTTTCTGATCTTTTTCGCGCAATCTTCAAAATTCATCGAAATCTTCAACTCGGCATCTGTTACAATTACACTAGAGAAAATTTGAAGAGCAAAAAAAAAAAAGTATCAGTGTAAGAGAAATATATAAAACACACAAAAAGTTTTTATGTAAAAAACATAGTTATGTAGAGATTTGAGTCACTCTACTTGTCGAGAATGTTTTCTCTTGATTTCGTTAACCAGCGACCCATCATAGTTGTGATTCCTTGTGGCTTTAACCAGGAACCCATCATAGTTAAATTCCAAAGACAAAAATATTAATTGTTTAAAATTCTTTTCGCTTAAAATCTCTTTTGATCTCTAACACTTAAAAATATATTTATACATATTTATATATATAAAGAAGAGAGTTTCCATACATTGAACATACAATTTGTTAATCAAATGACTAATAAAATTATATAAATATATATAGCATATAGCCTATTTTATATAAACATTTGCACAACAAAATTAATTAATACATATCTTAAAAAACCTATTTTCAAAACCTTAATTCTTATCTTTATATTTAATGTATCAAAATTTTGTAATTATTATTTGAGCAATAAGTTTTTTCTCAATTATTATTTTCATCCATTTCATTTAGTGTTTTCTAAAGGTACTTTTATTATCTTTATATATTACTGTATTTATTTTGTGATGTTGTTCTTAAGGAAAAATGGTTATTCCTCTTAATTAGTTTTACATTTTAGTTCATGTTGAGTTATCATCCCATATCATATATGTACAATGAAGAGACATGTGAACTTTAAAGTATTGGATATCATTAAAATTAAGACCATTGTGTATTTAGACTAACAATATACATTAAAATTTTAGAAACTAAAAAAGAAAAGAATAAGTCAGGATTAATTGTAAGAAAATACTGAGTTATATCTATTTACACATTAGGTGTTTTAAAATTAATGAATATTTATCTTTTGAAATTTCTCTAATGTTATTAAGTGAAAAGTAAGTAATTTTTTTTGGGGCAAAGTATAGAGTAAGTAACTAACTTATAAATAAATATATATTCAATGATAATTTATATATGATTAGATAAATCTTAAAATAACCTACTAACTAAAAGAAAAAAATATTACAGAAAATTAATTATTCAAGATTGAAACATTAAGTCTTGGTTAAAATTTTGTATTTTTGAGAATTAGCGAATGGATAAAATTAAGTTTTGATATTTCAGGATTCAATTAAAAAACTACAAGTTTTAGTTCTTAAATTGTTCTCTTATAAAATAAAATAACATAAGATTTCCCTGTGCATGGCATAGGTTCTTACCTAATTGTCATTTGACTAACATCATTAAACAAAATGTGATTGAGGCTTTTAAACACTCATAATGAAATGTATTGAGAGGACTTAATATTTGAACCTTGTAGCTATTTTATATAAAATCTAATATACGTAAAGTTTGTACTTCATATCCAATAATTTTGCATGGAATTTTGACATAATTTTAATTTTAATCGTTAATTTTTTAAGTTGAACTTGATATCACTACTTGAATTAATTTTGTATTTAAATTTTAAAAAACTGATCAAAAAGATAAATTTTAATGTTCGTTGTTTATTAATTTATAAAGAAGTTAACAAATTTACATTCATAGCTTCTTGTCTAGAATACCAACTAAAAACATACTTCATTACATTCTTTCCGTACAGTAAGAATAAGTCGGTAAATTCCAAGCATAAGAGAAATTATGGCTAAACTAAGCTCCCATGTTACTGCGCTATTCATTGTTGTAGCATTGGTGTGTGCGTTTGTTCCTGTATTTTCAGTCGAAGAAGCTGAAGCAAAAACATTATGGGACACTTGTCTGGTTAAAATCACTCCTAAGTGTGCATTGAATATAATAGCTGTTGTTTTTGGAAATGGAACCCTCATTGAGTCTTGTTGCCAAGATCTTGTCCAAGAAGGAAAAGTGTGTCACGATAATCTCATTAAATATATTGCTGACAGACCATCATTAATTGGCCGTGAAAACAATACTTGAAGAAGAGGGATGACGTGTGGAGTCATTGTGTCTCAATCTCTAAAACCGCTTAAACTATGTGTTTTAATATTATTTTGATCGAATATATTGATATTTAAACTTGTAACATTTGGTGACATATGTGGCCAAATAGATTCTTTTAAACATCTCCGCATGCACCCCCATATTCTTGAAACCGGGGTGTTACAATATTTTCATTTTCAGCTAACAATATAATTCAATCAAGTTGTCAACAATTTTTTTCTAATTATGAAAAAATTATTTTTTGTCAACTTCAAGCAAAAAACAATAACTAAACAATTTTTATAGTTACTCTTTTATCTCAAAATTCTCTAAATGAAAACCTTCTAAAACTAGCCAACACTTTGTTTTTCTTTCAAAATCTACACAAAACTTAAATTCTAAAGTAAAGAGAAAGTTCGAAACGTGTGTGAAATCTGGTTATGTAGTGAATTGAATGTTTATCGTTATGAATTTGACATATATATAACTTTTAGAATCATGTAATAGGTGGGGTAAAAGTTTCTTTGACTCCAAACCCAAAAGCAGGCTAGGTTTAAATTAGGAATGTTGTCTACTCAACCATTTAACTAGTTCAAGTTCAATCCATTGCTTCCTTTTTCAATGTTTTTAATCGACTTTCTTTACTTAGCTTCTAGTTTTTCAAAACATTTTTACTTAGTATGGGATTTGTGAAATATTTGTATTTGCGTCCACTGCTAGAGATCATATCTTAAGTTTTTTGGTGGAAGTTTTGCATAATTATTATGAATGATCTAGACCATATCCCTACCTTTCGAATATATATATTACTAATGTGCCATAAATTAGTCTTTTAGATTAAACCAATTATTCAAAATATGATTTTTCATTTGAATAACATCATTAAACAAAATGTAAGTAAGGCTTTTAAACACTTATAATGAAATGTATTTTGAGGACTTAATATTTGAACCTTGTAGTTAATTTATTTAAAATTTTACATATGTAAAGTTTGAACTTCATATCAAATAATTTGGCTTCGAATTTTAACATAATTTTATATTTTTATCATTAATTTTTTAAGTTGAAATTTGATATCAATACTTGCGTTAATTTTGGATTTAAATTTCAAAAAAAAACTGATCGAAAAAGGTAAATTTTAACGTACGTTGTTTATTAATTTGTCAAGAAGTTAAAAAATTTCGCATTAATTTCTTCAGTTAAGTTTAAATTATTTTACTTTAGTTACGTTGGATATTCAATAACCTATAAATAGTTTACATAGCTTCTTGTCTAGAATACCAACTAAAAAACATACTTCATTACATTCTTTCCATAAAGTAAGAATAAGTCGGTAAATTCCAACTATAAGAGAAATTATGGCTAAACTAAGCTCCCATGTTACTGCCCTATTCATTGTTGTAGCATTGGTGTATGCGTTTGTTCCTGTATTTTCAGTCGAAGAAGCTGAAGCAAAAACATTATGGGACACTTGTCTGGTTAAAATCACTCCTAAGTGTGCATTGAATATAATAGCTGTTGTTTTTGGAAATGGAACCCTC